GCGGGCCGGCGAGCGGAAAGGGGCCGCCTGAGGCGTAATGGCGGCGAGGGCGCCAGTCCCGGGCCGGTCATCGCCAGCTCAGCCCTCCGCTGCTTCCACCCGGGACGGGGGGACACGGAGGGAGCCGTTGGGCCGAGCCTCCTGCCCCCTGGGGCGGGAGGTTGTGTCACTCGATGTTAAACGTGCCTGTGGCTGAAAGTCGTGATAGTGGTGGTCAGCTTCCATGCTGTCAGTTCGGCCTCAAAACCTGAGTTCTTTAGGTAAAATTTCATGGGTTTGGGGAGGTTGAACAACAAAACATTTTAGGACCAGCAGTAGTTGCATTTGTCAAAGACCTCTGGCAGGGTTGTCTGTCAGCAAACAGTTACTTTCTAACCAACAAAGTGTAGTTTTTTAGCTGGGTGGTTCCCACTCAGCACAGCTTTCCAAAATGTTTGCAATTGCATGCATTCATTTTGGATAGGCTTGATGGAAATGCATCCTATACCTGGTCACACGCTAGAAGCTGCGGGTACCAGAAGAGTATGCATAGGTGTTTGCAAACAACACACAAAATACATTCAATTGCGCTGTGGATATCATGAATGAAAATTGTGAGGTGAGGTTTAGCACTTGCTGCTGGAAAATATGAGTTTTTCCTCAAATCATCGTCTCGGATGATTGCTTATAATTATTAATGTACCCGGTTCTACATGGATGTGTAAGAGGCATATGTAAAAAGCTTTATATACATTTCTCCACAAAGATACTGCCCTTTCCTCATCATTTACAGTGCAGGAGCTCCAGGCCAGGAGAACTGGACTTTCTGTGGTATAAAATGAGACCAGTGTTTTTAGTCCTTGAGATTGCACTTAATCCTTAACCCATGTCCTTGTAAAGATAAGCTTGCAGACGTAACTACTTTCAGCTCCTGTTTGCTCCTTTAACTAGCTTGTATGAGCTACGCATACTTCAGGATAGTAAAACAACAACTAAGACGAGAATACTTCCAGCGCAGGATGCATACAACAGAGAGTAGGTATACGTATATTGTCCTTTTTGAGCTTGCACAAAGGGCAACGTTTGGAGTGTCGGTGAAAAACAGCCTGCTATGACTTCTTTGGCAGTTATAGCAAGTCTGGGGCCATCGTGGCAGAATGTGGGCAGCATGTATTTATTTCTCTTTGCCTTTTCTCTGGCTGCCATCAGAGGCCCTGTTCTGTGGTGCTTTCTTCTGTGCAGAAAATAACAGCAGGCTTTCAAGGGGCATCAAAGTCTGTCTTTGCTACTTGAAAATCTAATTCTGAGGAAAGTAAGATAAGGGTTCACTTTGTGGTATTCATAAAGCATCTGGCTGTGAAGAAACATTGTACTGGCAAAGCTACTTATCTACTGAATTCAGTCTCTAATGTGCAACTGTTGGACGGTTTCCAATCTAATGAAGCTTTATAGCGCCTTTCATCTGCACAATGTCATAGGTACTTGTTTTATACATCCACATTGTGTAAAACTGTCATCTCACAAGCACTGGTGACCTATGCTATAATCTGAACTCTGGTATGATAGACTAGATAAATTTATAGCTTCATTATGTGACTTGTTGGCAGGATCCTTTTTTCAGTTGTCCAAAGGAGAATTGTGACTTCATTCGTTAGTCACCAGGGATGTGATACAATGAAGGCAGCAATTCCTGATCTTTATGACCGTTGCCTGTCTGAGGGCAATCTCTTCACTGTAAATGCTACACCAAGAAGGCACGTTGGGTAGATTCACTTTGCAAGGGATGGTGTGTGCGGTCAGAAGAGCGGAGATGTTGCAGTCTGACATTGTCTTCTCACTCTAGAGAAGATGCACAATATGCCTCAATTGTCATTCATTCACTTGAATCCAATCAGTGCTTGGTTTTATTTTCAGTATGCCAATTTTCATTATTTTATCACAAATTTCACAATGTCTGATTAACTTAAAATTCCCAGTGCCAAGGCCTGATTATTACAAGAGAAAAACAAGAGCATCTCCTGTTTTCAGAGGAAAGTCTAAGTTTCTACCCTTAACAAATGTAGGGAAGCGTGACAACCTTAATCTGAACAGCACTAGCACCAAAAGGTAAACAAAATGATCCTAGACTTGTACGATGAAATCTGCGGGAAGTGGGGAAGGGAGAAATGGCAGGGGAGCATGGGATGTCTGTAGAGAACTTGTGAGTGCTTGCAGTTGGCAGCACTATTAATGCGAAGTTGACAGTTAAAGATCAATAGTTTTGACACTGAACACAGATCTGCTTTCTGCATTTCGCATTCTTAGGTGAAGCTCGTTTCAGAACAACACAGCTTGCCATTCAAACCCCTAAGTGTTCATGCTGCAGCGTACCTGGCTGAAATAAACAGGAACTGACTTTCAGGAGAAGGAGAGGAGAATCAATATTATGCTAGCAGGCAGTGGAGGATGCTTTTGATTTTCTAGTTTCTTTCTTTTTCCCCTACAGTGATTATTGTCCTTGCCGTTTCTTCCCGCTGCAATGGGATTTGATCCTTTGTTTGCCGGCGGGAGCAGCGTTGTTCGGTGAGCGCAGGGTGACATCCAGCGGCTGGCGTCTGCCTGGCTGTGGGGAGGACTCGGCTGGTTAGAGGCATCGGAGGGACACCCCAGCCAGGAGGGCCCTCGGGGGGCTCCTGCCCAAAGCAGGGGCACACTGAATCCACATCAGAGTGCTCACGGATTTGCTGTCTTGAAAACCTCCCAGGAGTCTCATTCCTTAATTATTCTCATAGTGAAAATGACATTCTTTATCTAAAACCTGTTTTTTTTTCAATTAATGCCCATTGTCCCTTTTCCTCCACAGAACAACGCAATAAAGAGCCCAGATCCATCTTCTCAATAAACTCCTTGTAGTCTCTGGGGGGCTGCTTTTGTGTCCCCCTGAAGCTGTTTCTTCCCCAGGCTGAACAAGTCCAGCTCCCACAGCTTCTTCTCTCAGGGTTGATGGCCCCCTGCCCATCTCACTGCCTCTCCGCAGAACACGCTCAAATTGCACATCAACAGGCCAGGTTTCTGATTTGGCTTGTTGGTAACAAAAAGGATGATTGAGTTTATGAAGGATTCACACATGCTTATCTGATTCTTACTTGTGGTGGCTCTAACATTTTACGCTGGAGATTTTTTCCTAATTACATACATTGCTGTAAGCATCTTGTTATCTGTTCTACTAACAATAAACATGCCTCAGGGCTTATGAAAGACGACAAGGAGTTCACTCAGGGCTTTCCTGCAATGTGTTTCTTCCACAGAAAATGTGTTCTTGCCACCACAACTTTGTCATGCCAATGCACTCTGACAACGAGAGGGCTGTGTGTTCCTGAAGTGTGCTGGCCCTGTGGTGAAGAGGCAGTGCATGAGGTGCCGGTACTGAGAGTGGGGTGGTGTTACCAGCGCATCAGACAACTCCGTACAACAAACTTCAGCGACAGAAAACAACAGGCAGATGGTAGGTGCTGAATTCCTTTCCACACACGGGTTGCAGCATGAGGGCTTTGGAGGAGGGGAAACAATGTCCCCAGCTGCCCTGGTGCAGGGCTAATGAAGGCCTAATTGCAGCCCTGACTGGGATCAAGGGGGGGGAGGATGAGCAACAGCTGCTATAAAAATCACCACCTCGGCAGGGTGAGGGGGAAGTCAGGGGCTGCAAAGGCAGATTGAGGGTGGAGGCTAGGCTGGCAGGTAGGGCAGATATAAGAGGGGATGAGAAGTGGTGACCTCTCATCTAAAAGGTGATAGCTTGTGCTCTACTATTCTCTGTCAC